GGATGAACGGGGGGAGCCGATAGAAGTTTGGGATGTGCATGACTATACCATGAGTGGCCAGATTATTATGACCACCCATCAGTAAAATGAAGTGAATTAGTTATGCAAATAATAATAATAACAAAACCTTGAGAGTATTTGCTTAGGAAGTGTTCAATATTCAGTATTTTTGGAAGTGTCAATGAAGTACTGATGGGGTGGTCATAGTAATCTGGCCACTCAGTGTATGTATACACTGTGAAGTGACTACTACAGTAAGTTTAGTTAATATCCATCATGACATAGTTACATTCAACAGACTGTGAAAGGAATAAACCAAATGTACAAAAGTATCAAAGGATTCCTCCCATTCCTCCTTTGGTTTCCAGGTAAAAGCAGTGTCCCTTTAATTGAACCAGAAACCACCAAAATAATCCACCAATCATGACGCCATGTGATGCACCATGTCACATCAAGAAATACTACTTACACCCTGGCCGGTGTGGCTCAGTAGACTGAGCATTATCTCATGCATAGAAAGGTCACCCGGACATAGTTACATTTTTTTTTCTTATGATGAGAACTTTTAAGATCTACTCTCTTAGCAACTCTCAAGTATACCCTACAGATCGACTATCGCCGCCATGCTGTACACTACATCACCAGAACTTACCTTAAACTGGAAATGTGTGTCTTTGACAGTCCTTACCCATTTTGTCCGTTCCCCACCACCTGCCTTTGGCAACCAGTAATAGGTTCTCTTTTCCTATGAGTTGGGTTTTTTAGATTTCACATATAAATGAGCTCATGCGATATTTCCTTCCTCTCTTTCTAAAATCAATAAAAACATGCCACTTATTAGCTCTCCTCCAAACCCTCTGAGCAGAGAGCGCCAACTCTAAAGCATGGGCCTTTCCTCTGACTCAGGAGGGACCCAACAGACTCAACTTGCAGAGGATGACTTTACCCCTGAATGTGGTGGTGGCAGTGGGGTGACAGGGAAATGCCCCAGAAAGCGAGCCTGAGGCATCCAGTTCCAACGTGGGGGGCACCCAGTTCCCACCAGGTATGATCTCCACTGGTCTCTGATGTTCCTACCCCTGAGCATGTGTGTGTGTGCACACGCATATGCATGCATGTTTGTGTGTGCGTGCGTGTGCGTGTGTGTGCGCGCGCGTGCACACACACAGATGTATTTTAATCAGTACTTCTCTCTTACCCTGGGCATGTTCAACGAACTCCCCATTAACCCATCTCTCCCTGTAGACACGCTTACTCTGGGAAGGCCACAGGCCTGGTAGACTGGGTGCCTGAACAGTGGTTCAGGGCAGCAGCAGGGTGGGGTTCTGACTGAAGGCCTTTGGGAGCATGTATGTCGGGTCTTCTCCCCGGGGGACACTGAGACCCTGT